AAGATCATGCTTAAGAAGAAGAGGAAACGAGAAGAAAAAGAAGGCACGAGTCACCCCGACGTTGAAGAGGTGGAATCGGACCAAAAGAGAGGAGCAACGTACCAGATGTTGAAAAATAAAGGCCTTACGCCTAGGAGAAAGAAGATTGATCGTAACCCAAGAGTCAAACACCGTGAGAAATTCAGAAAAGCCAAGATCCGTAGAAGGGGACAAGTTCGTGAATTCCGAAGAGAAACGCAAAAATATGCAGGCGAATTGTCTGGCATCCGTGCTGGAGTTAAGAAAAGTATTAAGCTCAAGTGATCCATTGTCTTCCTTTTTTTCACCTCTCCCTCTTTATTTGCAACTAAAGATAGCGGATGTGAACTTAATAAATGTATCTTTTGGGGGAATTATAACGTGTATTATTTTTAATAATGGTTCTTACTTCCAGGATTGTATCCATTACAGGGTTTTGACTCTAATTTATAAAGGTAGTCTTCAAATTACCCCTTTTTTTAAACTAACCATTTGAAGTTTCAACAGCACTGGAAAAAGTTGCCAAGAGGCTGAATTTTGATTATGTGATCCTGGGGATGCTGCAACAGTTGCATGAAAAGCTACGGCCATTGCAGCATCCTTATGGTCACATGATCAAAATCCAGCCACATGGCAACTGCCTCATATTTGTGACATTTGCAATGTCCTGGGGTCACATGATCACCTTTTGGGCCTGTCCAACCAAAATCAATGGGGAGGCCAGATTCACTTAACAACTGTTACTTCCTTGACAGTTGTGGCAAGAAAGGTCATAAAATGGGTCAAAATTCACTTAACAACTCTCTTGCTTAGCAGAAGAGATTTTGGGCTCAATGATAGTCGTATGTTGAGGACTATTTTTAGTGCTTGAATGAGCATTATCCGAGATACCTTCAGTCATGGTTCCTTTGGTTCCTTTGAGCATTGATATTACTGGAATAAAATGTGGCAGGACATAGCAGTGGAGAAGGGAGGTAGATGACAATATCACTTAGAGATATGCAGGCAGAGTGTTGTCTACTTGGTTTACAGCTGGATACTAACCATAGGTACTTCTCAACTTACAATAGGTTGTTTAGTAAAGTTCAAAGTTACAACGGCACTGTTACAACTTTTGCAGCATCTCCATGATCCTGTGATCAAAATTCTGATACTCTGCAAATGGTTCATATTTATGATCTTTGCTGTGTCTTAAGGTCAAGTGATCCCTTTTTGCGACCTTCTGACGAGAATCCAGGTTCACTTAACAATCAAGTTGCTATCTTACTAACTGCAGTGATTCACTTCACAAATGAGTCGAAAAAGGGGCAAAACTCACTGAACTCACTTCAAGGTTGACTTCCGAGGTGGATAAAATGAGGACCCAAATTGTGTTGGGAGCAATAGGCTGACTCTGTAAATCACTTAGAGAGGGCTGTAAAATGGTATGTAAGTCAAAGTGCTATTACTATTAACAAATGTCTCACTTAACAGGAATTTTGGGTTCAAGTGTGGTCATAAGTTGAGGACTACCTGTCCTGGCCTTGTCAATTTAGAACTTTTGCAAGCTGTTTCATGCTATTGAAACCTTTCATAAAAGTGAAGTCTTTGTGGAGTCGAACTTCACTATTGGTTACTTCTGGTACATATCCATATATTTTTCTTGGCCACGGTACAAAAACAGCCTGCTGATTCTTTCTGTGGGACTTCATAACTATTCTTCAGTCTGATCTTCCGCTTTGATATTGGCTGGTAGTTTCCTAATCTAAGTACTAGTCAAGTCCCCCCTGCTTAGATTTTAACATAGAAAGTTTAGCCAAATGCTGCCACCTACTGAGACAACTGTACTCGTCTGTTATATCACATCTAATCTTCCTCAAATCATTTTTCAGATGTTTTAGACCTATTCCCCCAAACCTTTCAGCCAGAATCTGAAGGATATCAAATCTTTATTATACAAACCAGCATAATGGAGAGTGACAATTTGAGGAAGATTGGTTTGGTTTGGTAGTTAGTGTTAGGTTATGTTCTTCATTAAGTGTTCTTAATTTTATGTTCTTCATGTCAGTTCCACTTGCCATATAATACTAAACATTACTGAAGAATTTGAAAAATTGGTTATTAAGTTTTATGGATTCTTGTTTTAAACTAAACAGCTCAAAATTATCAAAAAATTAAAAAGTGCAGACCCAGAAATTTACAAATTCAAAGTTAAATTCTGCAAAATTGTTCATTCTCACACTTTGCAAGGAATGTGGCAATCTTCTACTCCAACTCTTTACTTTGTGCAATTACAACATTGCTAATAGTTGTCCATATATTGTTTAAAACCCTCCTGCAAGCTAGAGCCTATCATCTTTTCCAATTTTTGAAACTTTTCTTACTAATTAATTCATGGAATTAAGAGCATATCAGACACTGGAATGTGTCCTATACCAGTGGCCCCCAACCTTTTTTGTGCCACGGCCCGCTACCAGCATCACAAAATGATCTGCGGCCCGGTACCGGCATCAGCACGATGACAAGGCAAAGAGCCGAGCCAGCCGTCCCCCACTTCTCCCCGCCACCTTCAACTCCTCCTTTGTACCTTTGTCGATGGGCTTTGGGACCGTCGCTCGCCTCGCCTTGCCTTGGGTGCTGAAAGAATCCTCGCACCTTAGTTTCATTCGAAGCCGCCCCCACCTTCAATGAAACTAAGGCGCAAGGATTCCTTTAGGACCCAAACGCCACTTTCCAACCGGAAATACTTTCTCATTGAAACAAGATGGCGGCGCCCAGCAAACCGGCAGCCCGGTAGAAAATGTTCCACAGACCGGTACCGGTCCGGGGCCCGGTGGTTGGGGACCCCTGTCCTATACCACATGGGAAAAATCATCTCTTACCAATTGCTAGATAAATACCATTGGACAAAGGTTGGAAAAAATAAAATTATAATGAGTTATTTGCAGGAAAGATCCAGGTGATTTTTAAAAAATGAGCCAAAAAATACCAGTATGTAATAAGGAAAGGCAATAACAAAGGCTTAAGGATATTGATTTATCTACCAAGATTTCAGAAACAAGTTTTTTCAGGAGAGTAGAACTTTAAATAGTAAATGAAAAGTGAATTCAAGTGCAACAGAATGCAAATCTCATTAGTTCTTATAATGACATTAATGGAAATGTAATTGTCAATTCTGACCTGAACATAGCACATGTTTTACCACCCATTAACTACCGGCAACTACTTTGAATCTTTACAAATTTACTATGCATTGAGTTGAATATTGTTTAAATCCATGAGGTAATGTTATTTGCTCAGAATTAAGTATTTCAGAGTTAAAAGCTAAATAAACAATACTGAATACCTGCACAAAGTTATTTGGAAAGATTGCAGTATGTTAACCCTGTTGAGAAAGGCAGCATAAACTAATGTAATTAATTTTCCTGTTTGTGTTTATTTTGTCATATTGTTATTGTTTATATTGTTAATTTATTGGCTGCCTCTCTCACCATGGGGCTGTAGCTGCCCATCTTACAAAATGACCAGGTGAATAAAGCAGAAAAACAAATACAGAAAATAAATGAATAAATACAGAAAAATAATTAAAAATTAGGCATGAAAACTAGTGGAGAGGCTTTGGGCTAGTTGCTCTCAGCCCCTAGGAAGGAAGCAATGGCAAATCATTTCCGAAAATGGTGCCATTTGATAAAATCTTTTGGATGGAAAAGGCAGCTTCTGATCTGAAGTCCTTTTAAGATACTCCACAATTAATGTTTTAAATGCACAACGTGATAGCATAGGCCAACTGAATAACACCACAATGCTGTTAATTGCTTTATAGACATCCTAAAAAAAATCCTACAATCTGAAAAAAATCTATCATCCACACAAACTATAGGATGAAGAAGAAAAATGGAAAATTAACAAAAACTACCCCAAAACCTAAATAAGAATTGCAGCAAAGCAATCCTCCAAGGAAATGAGAAAGAAAATGGCAAAATACCATCACCTCTGAAGAAAAAACCTTATTTATCCATACAAACTACAGAGCAGAGAGGAAAACAATTTAAAAAGGAGCACTAATCCAAACCCAAATAAGAGTTATAGCAAAGAGGGGGAAGAAATATTTCAAGGAAATGGAAAAATAATAATAATGGCACAATACCACCACAGTGTCTGAGAAAAACATTATTTCTTCATGCGTTTTTAGAGTGAAGAGGGGAAAAAAATCAAAATGGAAAATTGATCGAAACTACTCCAAAACTCAAATAAGAATTACAGTCAGTCCTTGACTTATGGCCACAATTGAGCACAAAATTTATATTACTAAGTGAGAAATTTGTTAAGCAAGTTTTGTCCCATTTTTATAACTTTTCTTGCCATGTTCCTTACGTTAAGTGAATTGCTGCAGTTGTTAAATTACTAACATGGTTGTTAAGTGAAGCTGGCTTTTCCATTGACTTCGTTTGTCAGAAGGTCACAAAAGGGGATCACATAACCCCGGGGACATAAATATGAGTCAGTAGCCAACTGTCTTAAATTTTGATCAGGTGACCTCAGAGATGCTGCAGCCGAGGTGGATATTAAAAAGGATTATAAGTCACTTTTTTTCAGCGCCACTGTCATTTGGGACGGTCACTAAATGAACTGTTGCAAACCGAGGACTACCTCTATAGCAAAAAGAAAGACAGTTCCCAAGAAATTAGAAAGAAAATGAGGGACGGGGGACATCCCAGTATCACCTGCCAAAAAATGAAAATTAATCGGGGGGGGGGGAATAACCTCCCCGGTCCAGCAAACAAGTCCATCCCTCCCAAGGATCTACTAGGACCCTGCCAGGCGATCCTGCCTCCTCAGGCTCGCTCTGCCCCAGGAGCCGCGCCGTGCGCTCCGGGGAGGAGCCGGGGCGCGCGCCGAGGAGGCCGGCCGAAGTCGGGGCCGGCGGGGCGGGGCGGAGCTCGGCGAGGGGCCGGGTCAAGGCGAGGCTTCCCCGCACCCCCAGGCCGGCTGGGCCCGAGCTGGCTTGATCCGCGGAGAGGCGGCGACGAGGCGAAGTTGCCTGGTTGGCCGCGCGCGGGGGGGGGACCTGCCTGCCGTGCGCCCTTGGAGAGGCCGAGGGGTACCCCGCGCTTGGCCGGCATGGAGAGCTCCGGCGGCCGCTGCGCCCAACGCCGGGAGGCTGTCGGGGAAGCGGACGGGGAGGGGGAGGAGGAGGAGGAGGCGCCGCCGGACTCGCCTCCTTTTTTCCTCCTTTACCCCGGCCGGGGAGGAGGCGCCGCCGCCGCCGCGCCCGGAGCGCAGCCCCAGAGCGCTTGGCGCGCCGCGCCGCCGGGCCCTCGTGGCGACCCGTTGCCGGTCCTGCTCAGCTACATCGGGCCGGAGCCCGCCCAGCCGCGAACCGGCGGCGCTCGTGAGTAGTAGGAGCCCCGCAACTTGGGGTGGGTGGGTTCTTCTTCCCCGTGGGTGGGAACTGGGCTCCCATTATCCCCAGCGCGGGGTGGATGGGTGGGTAGAGAGTCTCTGCTATCAAAAGGTTGGGGAACCGGACTCCACAGTCCATAGATGCCTCTTTCTGGTTGGCGCACCCTGCTTTTTGCACCCCCCCCCCCAAATCCTTCAAGAGAAGATTCCCTTCCTACTCCTTCCTCTGTGTGTTTGTGTGTGTGTGTGTTTCTCTCTGTGTGTGTTCTCACCCCCCTTTTTAAAGGATTTTCTCCAAAGCCTGGGTGTGAACTGGCTACCCTTCCTCCTCACTCACCCTTCTTGTGTGTGTATATGTTTGTGTAACTCTGTCTATATGTTTGTGTGTGTGTGTGTAAATCCCTTTTTTAGGTTCTTTCCAAAGCCTGGGTGTGAATGGCTATCCTCCCTCCTCACACCCTCCTCTGTGTGTGTGTATGTGTGTGTATTCCTTTTGGGGGGAGGTCTTCTCCAAAGCCTGGGTGTGAATGCCCTCTTGTTGTGTATGTGTGACTTTGTGTGCAGGTGTGTGTATCCTTTTTGGGGTGTCTTTTCCAAAGCTTGGGTTTGAATGGCTACCCTCCCTCATATCCCGCTGTCCCTCTCTGTGTGTATATAAGTGTGTGACTCTTTATTGTGTGTTTATGGTGGCTAAGGGTTGACACTGACATGGTGGAATATAAACAGCACCTACAATACTTTGAAAACATCCACTTAAAGCTGAACACTGGGAAAAAATTTTATTTGAAATGTAGAAGAAACTTAAAATGAATAACAGGACATGAATTTTTCTGCAGAATGAAAGTTTCCTTTTGCTTTTAGATTGGAAAATTCCTCTTTGGGGGGGATAAATCAGGCCTCAAAGAAAGTAAAGGTGGTCCTTGACAATTGAGCCCAAAATTCCCGTTGCTAAGCAAGACAGTTGTTAAAATGCATCCCCTTTTATGACCTTTTTTGCTGCAGTTGTTAAGTGAAACATGCCGTTAAGTGAAATATGCTTTCATTAAGTGAATCTGGCTTCCCACACTGACTTTGCTTGTCGGAAGCCTGCTGGGAAGGTTACAAATGGTGATCATGTGACCCCCAGGGACAATGAAACTGGCGTAAGTACATGCCAGTTGCCAACTGCTGGAATTTTGATCAGGTGACCATAGGGAAGGTCGCAATGGTGGTAAGTGAAAAACGGTCATAAGTCACTTTTTTCAGTACCATTATAACTTGAAATGATCCCTAAATGAATGATTGTAGGTCAAGGACTACCTATAATGACAAACCAGTTCTGTGCATCCCCAAGGAAACAATATGGAAATGTTTGTAAAGTAAATGGGAACTCGGATAGATTCAAAGTGAGTCTTTGCTTAATTTAGTCAAGAGGAGAATTGACTCTGACAAAAAAAGATTTTCTATGTTTCTGTAACGCTAATTACCTTTTTCAATTGGTAGAAGGACATAGGAGTGTTCCAGGAATGTGATAGAAGCATAATTGCACTGTTTTTATAGTAGTAATTGAGGGTATTCAGTTTGCAGGAATTTGTTTATAATCTGACCAGGTGCAACTTGTACTGCTTATCGTGCATTGAGGACTTTTCAGTACAAAAAAAAATAATGCGGTTTTTTTGTCCCTTAAGAGAATTATTATCAGTCCCCATAAAAACAACTTTGTTCTATTTCTGGGTGATCATTATACAGTATAAATCAGTCAGGGTTTTTTTTTCCTTCTTCTATTCAGTCGTGTCTAATTCTTGGACATTGCCTGGACAAGTTTGTGCAGTTTTTTTGGCAAGGTTTCCCAGAAGTAGTTTGTCATTGCCTTCTTCCTATGGTTGAGAGAAAGTGAATAGCCCAAAGTCACTCAACTGACATTGTGTCTAATAGCAATAGCACTTCGGCTTATATACCGCTTCACAGTGCTTTGACACAGTGCTTTCTAAGTGGTTTACAGGACTACCTGTGTGTAGGTTTTGTTTTGTTTTTTTAATTTTTCTTTCTATCTTAGCTTTTGTGTGTTCTTTGGTCTTAAATAACTAGACAGGTACATTGCTTTAGCAAAAGAAAGCAGACAGACTAAAGAATTTTAAGACAATTATCATAAATGTATTTGTATACATTTTATTTATGCATTTATACAAATCATAAATATAATTGCAAGAGGAAGAATAGCAAGAATTAAGAAAATATTCGTTGCTTTCTAAACATACTCTTCCAGATCTAGGTGATTTCTTTATATTGGGTTCTATTTGTAGACGGTGCAAATAATTACAAAGTGAACAAAACATTGCCTCTCCCCACAAAACCATTAAAAACAATTTGCTTAAAGTAATAAAAACTTTTCATGGATACAATATTTAAAGGCCCGACATGTGGTGGTGTTACTTTTAGGGATTGAGAGCTCCTAGTGAACAGATTGATATGGTAGAAGATGTACTTAGTGTTTGATTGATTTTGTGCCATTATCCAGTTGGTGCTGAATCTTACATAGATAGATCTTACATGGGCTTTAAAAGAATTTAAGCAGCAGGGTTATCAGGAGTTCAGATAGAAAGCAGGAGACCATGAGTTCAGGTCCCACATAAGTCATGAAAATCAGCTGGGTAAATTTGGGCCAGTCACCAAGAGACTGTGAGTTCCAGTCCCACCTTAATGCATGAAGCCGGCTGGGTGACTTTGGGCCAATCACCAACATACTGTGAGTTCAAGTTGTACCTTTAGGCATGAATTTCACATGGCTGACTTTGAACCAATCACCAGGAGCCAGTGATTTCTAGTCCCACCTCCGGCATGAAAGCCAGCTGGGTGACTTTGGGCCAATCCCCAGGAGACAGTGAGTTCTATTCCTGCCATAAGCACGAAATCCAGCTGGGTGGCCTTAGGTCAGTTAGCCCAACACACCTCACAGTGTTGTTGTTATGGGGAAAGTCGGACGAGGAAGGTGGGTTGGGTATGTTCTTTGTTTTATTTGTAAAAATAATAAAGGCAGGATATAAATAAATAATAAATGAGAGGTGCGGTGGCCTAGAGGTGGTGTCAGGATTCCAGCAATCGCTCTAATTAGATCGTGATTCTTGAGCCAAACTTCAAAAAACTTCAAAGGATTTATTAGAGGCGACATACTGGCACTGCCCTGCATGTCGTCTCTAATAAATCCTTTGAAGTTTTTTGAAGTTTGGCTCGAGAAACATGATCTAATTAGAGCGATTGCTGGAATCCTGACAGCAAGCCAACTCTGGCATACATAATTTACAGTCACCCGTGACTCTCCCCCCCCCCCCCCGGGTTGTCTCATAAACCAGATTCTCCAATTGAGCACATTCACAGCCTGGGTATCATCATTCACGTTCTCCAATTAAATATATTCGCGGGCAAAAGCTCTGACATTTTAGTTACAATCTTTTAAACATAAAGAGTTGGAACGTACTTTCACTTTCAAATTGCTGCACTGCTCTTTCAGATTTCCTTCCTCTCCCCCCCCCCTTTTTTTTGAACTACTAAAAAAGGCATAGGAGTGTTTTATGAGTTGACATTCGGCTCCTCTCACTTCTTGAAGATAACCTGTATAAAGCAAAAACAAACTGAGTGCAGTTATAGAATTTAGGGTTGCAACCCCAGCCCCTCAGGCTTGGTTGGCTTGGTTTTATGAGTTGATAGGTGGAGCTCTCAATTCATAATCAGGAGGCTGTGAGTTTGATCCTAGGTAGAGGTAGATATTTCTCTCTCTGGGCACGATGAATATATATCTGCTGAATATAAGTCCACCTTGGCGACAGGAAGGGCATCTGGCCAGTCAACACTCAGCTCCATTCAGATGCCCAGACTCCACCCCGCAAGGGATTATGGGGTCATTAAAAGAGGATGATGAAAAATATATAATAAATAAAAGTAATAAAAATGAATCAATTATCAATTGATTACGGCTGCGAACAAGGATGTTTGCCTGGGATGCTTATAGAGACAAACAGATTACACAGTAGAAGCTAACTGGCAGTTGAAATACAAGTTTTACCAGTCAGATATCATGTTGCTCATACACTTGAAGAGTGAACGAAGCAGAAGGCTAATTTGGACCAAATGTTGGTGAATCAGACATTTATTTTTATGCAACAGTTTGAGAAACTGAAAGGGAGAGCATATGTGTTCTATCTTAAGTCAAGGAAGGTGCCGGAACAAGAATGAAAACTTGGAAGATCTTAACCGCGTTTCTCTTTCAACATTATCTCCTTTTTTCCCACACTGATCCTGCACTATTGCCTAGATATGAAATTGGTAGTTAATTTTATTACTGGGAAACCATTACGTAGCATACAACGGGTAGCAGGTGCGTGGTAAGTTATTTCAGGGGGCTAACTTGGATCATGTTTCCATGACTACCATCCTGTTTCCCTGAAAATAAAACCCAAGTGGAAAATAAGCCCTAGCATGGGTTTTTTTAAAGAATGCTTGTAATATAAGCCCTACCCTGAAAATAAGCCCCAGTTAAGATTGTCAGACAGACAGACACATTTGGAATGGTATTTCCCCCCAAATAAGACCTAATTGGTAAATAAGCCCTAATGCATCTTTTGGAGCAAACATTAATATAAGACCCAGTCTTATTTTCAGGGAAACACTGTATCCATCTACTGCTTATTGATTTAAAAAAAAAAAATCTTGCCCAATCAAAGAGCAGTTTGCGTCATTAATTTTAATAAGGACTAGGAGTCGATGTGAAATAGAGGGTAGCATGGCTTGATTTTCAAGTTCTGTACAAGCTCTGTATAAAGCCCAAAGCATTTTGCTGCCTACACAGTGCATAAAAGTAGTCGGGTAGATTTAAAGTGTTTTGACAGTCCATGTCACAAATAATGCCCGTAATGTGCTTTTCTGCTTAGGAATTAGTTTTATTGCTATTTTAGGTACTAGGAAAACAATTCTTTTCAGGGCTTTCCATCTCTAAATCAGGAAACATCAAGCTCT